ATATATGTGTGTGTGTGTGTGCGCAAGAAAGTGTGTGCGGTGTACTTTGGCGCGGTGACGAGCAGTTGCTTCGTTGCTTGGTGCTCGGTAGCTTCGTCTGCAGGAGACAAAGCGTGGGCTGACCGAGAGTCTGGGTCTGAAACTTTGGTGGGTGCTGGCCACCTTGGCACAGGCGAGGTGTCGGAATGGTAGGAAGCAGGTTGCCTTGGCCGGATCAAAACGGGAAGGATGGGAAGCTAGGGTGCTGCAGGTGATCACAACTTACGACCGCGCCTCCAAGCCTGGTGGAGTCCAGCACCCGGAGGAGACTTGCGAGGTTCTTGCAGTTTGGGCCCGGGCTTATCAGGTCGCACTGGCTTTCGAAGCCGTGGAGCTCTTGCTGTCTGTGGTATCCGCAGCGGCGACACCTGCCAGATTGGGTTTTGAGCTGCGAGCTAGTCGGCTGAACCATGGTGTCTCGCACCCATGCAAACTTCGAACGCTTCAGCCAACTTTTGCAGCCAGGCGTACCTGGCGCCCTCTGGACGCCGTGGCTCCACCCGAGAGCCGCCGCTTCTCAGCGAGGAGACTGGGATCTTCGGTTTCCTTTTTACCGCACAGATGTGTCATTCATCTCGAAGCCGTCATCAGGAGGATGGGATTTCAATGGTCGGTGATGGGGGACGATTTGTCTGCTTCTCGTTTGTGGCAGTTCAAACTAGATCTTTTCCGATTCCGGCTGCGCTGCAGGCACGAAGCCTGAGCACCCGCGAACCTTCTCCTGAGGTCAGGGCCTTGTGAAGCAACACTCCCCAATGGTGTTGTTGTTGTGATTTACATTGGTGCAGCATTGGATTGCCCAGGACCAAGTGGGCATCATGGGCTGGCTGGTTGCGGGCTCATGTGGGCTCGAACTTGAAAGCGACATAGCGACTGGAGCCGCCTCGTAAATTGCCCTAAAATCTGTCCTTGAGGCCTTCAGCTGGTTCACGCCCATTGTCGATTTGGCTTTCCAGCGCGACAAGGTGCATGTGAAGCATGTGAAGTGCGGCGGCCAGTGCGGCGCGCGCATTGCACATGATCGGTGTCCGAGGAGAGTGGGAAGCTTGAGCCCACCGATGTGTACCCGCTTACGAACAGGACATTTGAGCGTCAGCTGTGACGGCAGCGCTCTTGAAAAGCCCGTGGAGGAACGTGGCAAACAAGCAGCTGGAACGTTTGGACCAACAGTGGCAGGCCGGAGTCGGCATGGGCACTTCTGGCGCTTCCGACAGCAAAGAAGAAGAGGTGGAGCTCCGGAAAGAGAAGCCTGCGCTCCTGTCTGCGATGACGAGAGCATTCTTCGCCGAGGCTGCGCCGACGGACCGGTGCAGTGGGCCTGCCGTGGCTGTTTGCACTGCGAGGTGTTCAGCACGGCTTGGGTCAAGCTCCTCAACGATTGTCTGCATTTTGCTTCTTCCTCAAAGTGTCGAATCCGTGGCCTGCCAACATGTCAATGTGCCCCGTTTCCAGGTTGGGCCGTTCCTGCTCAACAGGCACCCCTGTCCGCCCGTCCCTGCAAGGCTCCATCTAGGCATACCTCGCTCTGCAGGATCATCAACTTCGTCAAGGGCACGGGCGAAGAAGCCGGAGAAGAAGCTCGTCCGCACTTTGAGCACCTTTGAGCTGTCCTGACCTGTGCCAATTCGTGACAGGAACAGTGGGTTGGGTATGCTTATGCCATTGGAATGGTGCTGTCGTCAGCTTGCCAGGCTGGGTGGGGCCCGTCGCAGACACGTCTGTCCACAGATGCACGGCCGGGGGTTCTGAGGCTTTTCTTATGGCCCACTACTTCCAGGGTGGCTATCAGCCTGCAGCCCAGCCCGAAGCAGCCTGCCTAGCTGGCAGAAGGTCTTTAAGGCACTGCTATCAGGACGGGAATGCGCTTGCGCACGGCGCTGATCCTGATGTCTTACAGCAAGGCCCCGCAATCGCTCTCCGGCGGGGGGGGGGGAGGGGGAGCGGGGGGGGTTTCAAATCGACTCTCTCTCTCTTCTCCTGGCGAGGCGCTGCGAGTCCTGCCCTGGCCCAGTCCGCCGCCCCCGGAGGAAGCACCGGCCGCTCGGCTCCATCAGAGCCCGGCCCGAGAAGAGAGGCATCTCATCTAACTCTGTTCGTGCTCTCTCTCTCTCTCTCTCCGCTCTGTTTCTTTTTGGCCCTAGGTGGAGCAGGAAGAGACCCGGCGATGCTGCAAGAAGAAGCCCCGCACTCTCCACTCGCCTTAAGGACCTCAGCGCTCACGTCTAATTACTGCCCTGAGGCCAAAGAAGAAGCCCAGCCTTCCAACCGGCGGCATGGGGTGGGCTCGCCAGCGCACAGAGCGAATCATAATAGTGATTCTGAAGCTTTGTTGTGCAGGCAGATGACAAACATCATCTCCGCTGACACGGAGCCATGCTGGGCAATTCTAGCTACCGTCAGTTGCGGTTTCAGGTAGCAACTGGGCATTATAATTACTCTCATTTCTTGACTCATGATGGGATGTGTTTTGACAGCCATTGCACGGGCAGCCTAGTTGCTGCACAGCCTGTTGAAGCCGTCGAGAGGACAAGTTCACTTTTCTCATGCCGTACTTCAACCTTATCTGGTCTTGCCCCTTACAGGCAGAAGCTGCCGAAAAGTCTTCTTAAGACGTGAAGCGGAGACAGCATGGTCTCGCTGCCAGATCATCATTTGTTTCGTCATGCTCTTCAACTACGTGAGTTGGTCACTCTTCGCCGGTGTGGTGGCCACTCGTCCCGATTCCTCAGAAAGAGAAAGGCGTCACACTAGCGAGAGAGAGAGAGAGAGAGAGAGAGAGAGAGAGAGAGAGAGAGCGCGGGGCGATGTTCGGAGGTGATGATCGGATTCACCATCGTCTCGAGCACCGTCGCCGGGAAGGCCATCAGCAAAAAAAGAGGAAGAGGCGCCAGGGCCAAGGCAGCTCCCCCCCTTTATCCGAGAGGCCAGGAAGATCCAGCAGGAGGCCATGAAAGCCAAGGACGAACGGCTGAAGATGGAAGTGGAGCTCCTGAAGCCCGAGCCTTACGATCGGTTGGAATGTTCGAAGGTCTGTGTTGTGTTGGCTTAAATGACAGCAATGAGACGGGTTTAAAACATCAGAAATCATCCACGGAAACGGCATACTGGATAAGACATCCTTTTTCCTTTTCGAGCCAGGGTAGTCCATGCATGCGGGTGGGGGCCACGCCGTGGTGGCTCGGCGGGAGGTGACATGCCGCATGTCTTGGCCAGTGCTCAGCTCGGAGCCGGAGCATTTCAGGCCCAGAAGAACACGCACCAGAGTTGCGGTTTTAGGAACCAGACTGCGGATTGCAGCGGAAGCTGCCACTATGGTCTCTATGATTCTGTCACACAGTCATGAGTTAAGTTATAGTGCTGACCATTACAGTTGGCTCAACGGAGAGACTCAAGCAGCTTTGTAATTTATAATTCGTTCTTTACTTCATTCTTTACACTTTACACCGTCGCATTGCCCGTGGCTGTGTCACATCCGGGGGGTCGGAAGCGTCTCCAGAATGTCACCCACAGAGCTCATTTCAAGATCTGCCGTTTCCTGCAGCAGGCTCCCAGCCTCACCCCGCTCTCTGTCAGGATCGTGAAGATCATCAAGTTCTACGCGTGGGAGCTGGCCATCGAAGACAAGGTGAAGCAGCTCCGGAACCAGGAGCAGAGAGAGAACTTCTCGAAAGGGGGGCCCAGAGTGCCCCGAGACAGCGTGCGTGACGGCGTAGTGATGCCATGGATGCCATGCGCTCAATTCCTCTCCTCGAGGAGCTGGCACTGCAGCTGCGCTACAAGCTTTGGAACGTGGCCCGGGTCCCGGCGCTGGGGAGGTTCTGGGGGGGCCCGGAGCGAGCCGGCACATTATGGGCCGTTCAAAGGCTCTCTTTCTCTCCTTCTCCCTGAGCCCGGTGCTCGTGGCGCTGGGTGGGGGACCCATCTTGGAGCAAGAGACGCGTGACGACACACATGAGAGAGGGAGAGAGAGAGAGAGTGCCTCGGAGGTACCTTCTCCTGCTATACGCCCCTGGGCTGAAGAGACGCTCCTCTCGAAGCCTGGCCCCTTTGCTTTGCCGCTTACAGGCTCGCTGAAGGGAAGAACTTGGATGCGGTCGCGCACTCGGGCAAAGGAGGGCACTTAAGGGTTCCGACACGAAGTCGTCGTGTCGTTTCCCCAGGCCACCGCCTTCACCTCTCTGAGCCTCTTCAACATCCTCTCGTTCCCACTAGGCGCCCTGTCGCCCAGGCCGAAAGCTTCCTGAATCCTCCACCGATCTCAGGTGCAATGCCCATGATGGCGCGCTTCTTCATGGAGGCTCGGCGCGGCGGCCCCGGCAAGGACCCTCCCGATGGCGTCGCTGCGTCCTGACAGGCGGCCGTGGCCAAGGACCGTATCGAGGCCTTCCTGCTGAGCCCAGAGGCCGGACACAAGGCAGATCAGGAGTTGCCCCCCTGGTCCCACTGCAGCATCCTGCCAGCGCGCCCTTCGACGCGCTGGGGCGCGTTGCAGGTTTCGGCGCGTCCCACACCTGCCATCACGGCGGGCCAAGCTGTGGAGATCAAGGCATCCAAGCTCCAGTGGCAGGAGCCTCGGGTCAGAGTCGCCACAGCTTGTTGAAGACACTCTCTAGCCGAGGCCAGACAAGACCCTCCTCTTGAACGAGGCACTGCGCTTCACGTAGTTTTCCTTCAACTTCGGAGAGGGGCCTGGTGAGAACGTGAGGTGGATATCTCCGTGGCCAAGGGCGACATGCTGGTTATCGTCGGAAAGACAGGCAGCACCACAACGTCAGGGCTTGTGTTTCTGGTGTCTCTTCTCAATTGGGGCTTCTGGCTTCGGGCGCTTGGTTCCTCACGAGCTTTCCAAACCAGCTTCGGCCTAGGCCCAGGTTACAAGCCCTGCAGCTGTCCTCTTTAACCACGAGGTTGGCAAAAACTACGGGAATTCAGCTCCAGTAGCCTTAGTAGCTTAAGTGCAGAATCGGCACGGAAGACTCAGAGTCAGAGGAAGCAAAGCGAGGTTTTAGTCTTGGCCCCGGGGCCAGGTGTTGGCAAGTCTGGGCCGCGCGCTCACTCTGAGCACTTTTGAAGCTCAAGGTGTCGAGCAGGGATCCAACGGTCCTTTTGAGGCTGCTGTATGCTCTGCTGGGCGAGCTGCCCATTCCAGCCGAGGATGGCAAGCGCTGGCCTCAAAAGGAGCCTTAAGGCCCAGAGGCCCAACAAGGCCCAGATATGTTGCTCCTGTGCTCTGTGCTCTGTGCTCTCTCCGTCGTGCTCCCTTCAGGACGTACCTGACCGGTAGCATCGGCTACTGCGCTCAGAGCGCCTGGGCCAGTTCCTCAGACCCGGTTTGTGCCGTGAGCAGCTCAGCGGAGTGCTCCCTCAAAGATCCGCAACGCTACGCTGCGCCGTCACCTGAGCTTCAGATCACATCAGGTCGTCGGCTCTGACCAAGGCCAGCTTCCATTTTTGTTCTAAAGGTGACAACATCACCAACAGCCCCTCGCTTGAAGCCGACGAGCGCTACGAGGCCCGCGGCTTTCCAGCGCATCGCCGACACACAATCTCCGCCGCAGTGATTGGCTCGGGGTCTGGCCCACCTGGCCATAGCTCTCTCAGCTGATCGTAATGACCAGGATGGGCACCTAAGGACTTTCTGCTGTGCCAGCAGAACCAGTAAACAGCACTGCCTGTATTCATCGTGCCCCACCGTTCTTGCACCGCAAAATCCTGGTGCTGCGTCCAGCACATGTCTTATTCGGGAAGGTACTGTACAGCCAAGCTCCTGCTCCCTCACCACTGCGCTTTTAAAGTTCATGAGTGCCTACGTGGCCTGCCTGTCCAGTCATTCTCGCTCTGTCCCTTGTTTGAGATTCGCCATGGCGTTCCAGATGCCCAATTACTTGTGATCGCTCAGCCGGCCCAACAGCCACACGGTGCGCATGTCATAGCCGGCCCAGTGAACTCCAGGTCCGGTTACACGGCAGTTTCACAGAGAGCACAACGAAATTCTTTGAAAGAGAAGTGCCCGGGGCGCTGCCAGTGCTTTCTCGCATTGGTGTAGCTGAGCCAAGGCAGGCTTTGTTTGCGGGAATGTTCGAAGCCAGAAGGGTGGATGCAGTGTCCAGCGACCGAACAATATTCGCGTTCAGGCAACTTAAGGGAGGAGTAAAAACCGTTCTCTCACTGCTTGGAAAACGTTGGAAGCACTTGCAGCACTTGCACCGGCCCCTGAGGCCGCCTCCGGCCTCCCAAAGGCTGCCACACCTGTCCCTCTCCCACCCTTTTGTAAGGGATGCTTCGTTCGAACCACCGTGCGGATGAAAAAAAGAGAGCTCCCCGACGCACAGAAAGAAGTCTGGCAAGGAGGTGGGTTTTTGGTACTTGCGGAGGCCGTCCTGGACGCTTGTGCCATGCGTGCCGATCTGGAGGCGGCAAGAGCTGGCCGACAAACGTGCTGTAATGCTGGCCGCGATCGTTGACCTATAACATTGCTCATGACAGGTCCTGCCGCAAGGAGACCAAACACTGATCGGAGATCGTGGCATAAACCTTTCAGGTTCGCAGCAGTTCGCAGATTCGCTGAGGCCGTTGAGGCTACTCTGCTGATTTTGGAAGCATCGCGCCAGGTGGGCAAAAGCAGCGGGTGGCCTTGGCTCGTGCCGTTTACGCGAACCCGGACCGCCTTCCTGGGTTTCGCATGAAGCTTAGGCACAGTTGGCCCTCAGTGGTTCCAGAGCGAGTTTTTGTAATGTACAGTGTTGGCTCTCCTTGTCAAGATCTGAATACGCAAATTTCCTGCACGGCATCGTGTGCCTGTGTCAGCAAGCACCTAGCATACTCATCCTTTAGGCGTTTCAGCTTCAATTCGAAGTTCTTTGCAACAGGACATCTACATTTTGGATGTGTGGACCTCGGCTGTGGAACGCCGATCATTCCTGAACTGTCGATGGCATCAAAACGAGATGGAAAGACTTTTGTCTCAACAGTGAGCTGTGTGAGGCAGAACCCCTTCTCTGAAAATGCTTGGCAGGGGGCGGAACAGACTTTCCGTTTCGGTCACTCTCCCCCGCGCACCCTTCCGGCTTGAAACGAACCTACTTGTGTGACGATCGCGACCGACATGTAATGCAGTATTCTGGTCTTCGTAGCAGACCGCCCCCGGCTGCCCAACATGCCGACTGATCGGCGACACTGCGGAAAAGGTAGCTCCATACAAACCATCCACCTGCGGTTTTTGCCACATTGGGGTGGGCCACAGGCCGCGACATAGCCATCCAAAGACTCTGGTCCACTAGAATTGCCATCGAGCCTTCGTCATGAAGTACACAATGATGCGGTTTCCATGGCAACGTCCCACGCACGCTCGGAGATTCGTTCACCGGCTGGAGAGCTCGTATCTCCTGCCGAAGTCTTGCTCTCTTGCTGCGGGGTTCCCAGCCGGAGGGGCTTCGGATGCCAGACGCAACGGCTTGCATCACTCAAGCCGCTCTGCGTGTCACATGCCTTGAGCATTCATGCTTGCCAATTCCCGCTGAGGATGTGCTCTCTGCTTTGGACTCTCACGTGGCCAGCCACATTTGCAGCAAACTGTTGCGGGGGCCGCTCTTAGCCATCACCTTAGCTCGAGAAGCCCACAGCTTGCAGTCACTTGCAGAGATGTGTATTTCGTCTGCTGTAGGCCGGCAAGACAGTGATACTCGTTACGTTCAGGACTCGGTCGAGTAGGCTTTGTGAGTAGTTTATATGTGCGGTGTGTGCCGTCTGCACTTTGGTCTAAGGCACTCTCCGAAGGCTGTTCCTCTTGCAAACCAGGTAGTTTGCTTGGAGGGCAAGAAGGCTCCAGTTAGTGGCAGGGTGTGTGGGTGGTTTCGGGTGCATCTGCCTCAAGCAGGTGGCCTTCAATGGAAGCTATGAGGCTTTGCAAAAAAAATAGCGGGGTTCGTGTGTGTGTTCGTCTCTTTTGTGAAATCTCTGGAAGGCCTTCAAAGGCTCCAGTGCCATGAACGAGGAGGCCTGCTTTATGAAGCAGAGATGGCCCCGGAATCCGCTCCGCTCTGGGGCCCCTATCGGAGGTGATCCACGAGGACGAGCCGGAGCCGGTGGCCAAACCGGAGGTCGACGACAAGAAGGCGCGAGAGAGAGCGAGAGTGACAGAGTCACTGCTCTCCTGAAAAAGCGGTTCCGAAGGAAAAGACGGCGGAGAAGAGCAATGGCAGCAATGGTGAGGTAAAAAAGGCAGAGACCAGCCCTAAGAAGGCCCGGCGGATGCAGTCGCACAAGAGTCCTCCCAGCAACGTCTGATCTCAGGCTGCTGCACCGGCACACGAGGAGTGTAAAGATTGTAAACTTGCTGCCGGTCCCTAACAGACAGTCAGAAGCCGTGCAGGAGAGGCGCAGCGGGGCGGTCGCCTGGCAGGTCTATGGAGCGCAAGGGCACCAAGTACTTAAACGGGGCCACACCGCAATTGTCCCTCACGTCGGAAGTTGCGCGGATGCGCAGGTATGCAAAGGCTTGCGGTGGCGTCCCAGCCGTGGGTTTCTGTGCTCAGACGATCGTACAATGGCAGTGACACATCATACTGAATCATACTTGATCAATGCGGGGGCCGCTTCGCCGGCCATTCGTCGCAAAGGTGTCTTCCTCCTTACTGTCGCCATTTCCGAGGTGCAGTGCCAAGAACCCTACGGTCCTACAGCTCCTGATCTTAAGCCCATATAAAAAGCCCCATGATCTCCACTCCACGCCAGGGTTCTCGGAACTTCTCGGACGCGTGGTTGGCACACTGGAGCGGGACCGGTGGCAGCGCCAGCGGTTTGGGGATGTACGCTCTCGCCGCGGCCATTTGCTTTGCGTCGCCCTTACATGAGATTTCGGGACTGATCTTGGCAAAAGATAAATACATAGTATGAAGATGACAATCAGGTGACAGTAGGAAGATCCATGAATAGATATAAGCGGATAGCAAATATGTGAACATAAAGGGCTCAGGTTCTGCATTTATGCAACTTATGCGCCGGTGGGAATGTCAAGACAGGGTTTCGGCAGATTTATGCAGCGGGTTCGTTCCGAGCAGTCTTAGAGTTTTTCTTTGATTTCATTGTGTCCTTCGCAACTGGAGAATCGAATCGAACATGGGTGTCACCTTGCATCAGCCGGAACTGAGTGATCGACAAGTGTTTGCCGAACGTAGCATTCAACTCCGGTGTCTTTAAAAAAAATTGAAACAATCCACAAGGGCAGTGCTCCAGACCCCCACATGTGTCTTGAAGCCAGCATAGTCGTTATACCCAGTCCGGCGCCTATTTTCTGTTTAGACATCCAAAACAGTCCTGCTTCACCAGCCGTGCGCTTCATGTCAATGCCTCGAATCAATCGGCCACAGGTTTTAGGCCACAGTGTCCGGGTCCCTGCCCTCTCAACCACATGTTCTGGAACTCATTCCAGAGAGAGGCATGGCGCAATCGACAACGCATGGAACAGTCTTCTTTACGCAAGTGCAGCACCAGGTTTTGCGGCCTCGAGTCTAGAAGCCGTGGTGTGTGAAACCTCATGGCGAGCTTGCCTCATGATGGGAAGGGGTGTCACTTGTGTCTTTTATTTTTGGGTCACTTGGGTGGGACCTGAAATAGGAAACCCTCGGCCCTCTCAAGTCGACGCCTCCAGATTGCAATCGGGGTTCAGACTCCTTACCAACACGTAGCCGACAGGGGGTATTTGAAGAGCACGGTCTCTGTATGTATCGTTCTCGTGAAATTGGTGCAGTATAAACGAGTACACCCAGACCGAGTACGCGGACCACCCCAAAACAAGTAAAAGGAACACGTGAAAGAAACCCGGAAATCCAAAAAAATAAGTAAACCGATGCCGAAGCCCTAAAGGGAAGAAACCCAGACCGAAGCCCTAATGAAAGAAGGCCCAAACCCCAAAAGGGAGAAATAATACAAAGTATGCTTGAAAAAAAGCCGAAGTTTGAAGCCTAAACGGAATAAAGCGACCCCGAAACCTGAAAAGAAGTAAAAGGTAAGAAACCCTAAAAAGGAGTAAGCCCAGGCCGAGCCCTAAACGGAGTAAACCCAGACCGAAACTTTGGTGAAAGAAAACAGAAGTACAGGCCGAAGCCCTAAAGGTGTGAACCCGGACACAAACCTTAAAATAAGAAGGCCCTATCCCTGAAAGGAACAAGCCCAGGCCGAAACCTTAACGGTGACTAAACCAAGCCCGAAGCCCTGAATGGAGTAAGCGCAGACAGAAACCCTAATGAAGGAGTGCCCAAACCCTATAAAAGAAAGCGGACCCCGAAACCTAAAAAGAAATAAAAGGTAAGCGTGAAAGAAATCCGAAAGCTTGAAAAAACATAAACCCAGGTCGAAGCCCCAAGAGGAATAAACCCAGACCGAAGCCCTAATGAAAGCAGGCCCAAACCCTACAAGGTGAAAAAATCAAAAGGTATGCCGGATAGAAAGCCGAAGCCCTAAAAGGAGTGAGCCCAGGCCGAAGCCCTCAAAAGGAATACGCCCAGACCGAAATCCTAATTCCCGAAACCCTAAAAGGAGTAAACCCAGACCGAAACCCTAGAATAAGAAGGCCCCACCCCTGGAAGGAGCAAACCGGCCCCGAAATCCGGAAAGGAGGAAACCCAGGCCGAAGCCGTAAAAAGGGTAAACCCAGACCGAAACCGTAATGAAAGAAGGCCAAGCCCTCAAAGGAGTAAACGGACCCCGACACCCTAAAAGGGAGCAAACCCAGGAAAAGGACTAGACTCAAAGCGAAACCCTATAATGAAAGAGGGCCCAAGCCGAAACCTTAAACCTGAACGCAGTAAACCGACCCCGAAGCCCTAAAAGAAATGAGTGGTAAGCATGAAATACAACCGAAACCCTAAAATGACGAAGCCTAGGCCGAAACCCTAAAGGGAACACACCCAACCCTAACACGAGTACACCCTGGCCGAAGCCTTAAAAGGAGTAAACCCAAACCGAAACCCTAATGAAAACACGCCCAAACCCTGGAAGCCTTTCTGCCAACCGTGGACGGCTAGTAAATGATGAGCTTTTCGGCGTCCGGCACCTTCGTTATCTGAAATTTATTCTACTATTCAATATATTGCCCGATGGTTTGCGATGGCTTGTTTTCCTACTCCGTGAGGTTTGGTATGATGTGGTATCATGGGAAGAGCAAGTTGTAAGGACATGCCAACCCAGGTGGCAATGTCAAGCAAGTGTTAATCTCCTATAAGTGGCAAGCTTCTGCGAAGTCTGTCAAGTGCAAGTAGCTACTGTATGTTTTTGGGCGCAAGTAGTTATTGTTTCTTTTTCGGCCGCTGGTTGTGACATGTACTTTGTATCCCCTCAGACACGCTGGAAATACTGGGATCACACATAGCCTAAAACTACAAATGTCGTTGTGTCATGCGCGGTGCTTTATCACTGATCTGCAGAACCGCCACGCGTTTGAAACATGACCTCACTGCCAAAGCAACAGATTGTTTCGCTCAGTGCAATGGTCGTGTCTTGAGGTTGCAGGCATTACCTACTCCACATGTCGCGTCTTCGTCGGCCAGCGTGGGTCGGCGACTCGGTGCTGTCACGGAGAACTCCAGTTTACGTGCACTGCCGTGCTGCCCTCATTCTCCGATCACTGGGTAGAGGGACACTATCGTCAGCACCTTTGAAACCCATGGCTGTGTCATCGGCAGCGAACTCTGAACAGGTCGCGGGTGTTGCATGAGCGGTGCTTGCATGCGCTGCTCAGAGCTCACATGTCCTCTCCTCAGAAGAAAAGAGACTTCGACTCACGGAATCGAGTGGCTTGCAAGGTCCTTCTTCGACCTGACGCCAAATGGCCAGATTCTGAACCGCTTGGCCGAGGCTTGACAGTGCATACAGCATGGCATTTCCCAAATGGCGCCGAGAGAGGACACCAACATCTTGGATTACAATCTGCCGCAGACGATCCTAAGCAGCACGGTCTGCTGGGCTGCTAGCGCTAGCAGCCGGCAATGCAACTAGAGTGCTTGTCTGAGGATGTCGGCGAATATCATCTGGCTACACGGCTGCATCTATGGATTTCTGCAACGGCAGGGCAGGGAATAGGCCTTTGTACTTGTAGGTTCTGGCGGGCAGCTTCAATCGTGGTGGTTCTGGCCTTACCAACAGCTGGAAAGCGCAAAAAGCTGTACAGCAACTGCTGCAGACGGCTGCAGGTCTGCATGCTCGTGGGATGGCCCGCTCAAACCTTCCGCTTCCGCCGCGAGACGGATGCATGCCACGCTTTGCGATCAGGTACTTGCTCTTCTTGATGGTGCCCATGTTTGTGCTTTATGCGCGTCTTGCGAAGAGGCAGAGCGCATCTCAGACCTTCAAAGTGCAGCATTACTTCAAGCAACAGGTATCTGCCAGCCACGCGTGACCTGCGTCGACTGGATGCGGTCAGACCTCGGCATGTTTCAGGTAACATTGATTGCTCCTGGCTGCTGTGAATTTTGGGCCAGGCAGCCAGGAGCCCTATCTTCAGCCACTTCTCTGAGTCCATGCAGGGCGTGTCCACCATCCGTGCCATGCAGCAGCAGGAGAAGAGTGCAAATTCTCGGACAGCATGGCCGCATGGTTAAAGCTCGGCAGGAAAGGGCTTTGCACACGAACATGACCAGGCCAGGAAGGTCGCGGCCTCCTCCGTTTTGTCTAAGCGATTCGTGTTCTGAGGCTGGAAAGCCAGATGGAAGCTTACTACCTCAGCAACACAGCAGCCTCTTCCTCGGCCCAGCAATGGCCCAAGCCCGACATGGCCATGGGCGTTGCTAGAGGCTCGATGGCTGAGCCTGCGGCTCCAATTCAATGGCACCATCCTGGCCGGGAGCTCACAGCGTCTTTTCATTTTCTCTGGAAACTGGCCCTAACTAGCCCTTGGCCTTGGCACCTTGTGTGGGAAGGTGGGAGCTGTGAGCATCCTGGGCATCTTGGCTAGTCACGGCTAGTCTCTGCGCCTTCTGATTGCTCTCGCGCTCTCTCTCTCTCTCTCTCTCTCTCTCTCTCTCTCTCTCGTCTTTCTGCAGGCATCTTCCTTTCGACGAACAAGCAGGCGGGGCGGCTCGGGCTCGGGCTCGTCGTCGCTTCTCACGATTCTCACGCCTGCCAGGTGTCTGCAGGTCTCGTGGGATTGGCCATCACCTATGCGCTTCGCCTCACGGACACCTTGAACCAGGCCTCTTGCCGCCGACGAGGCACTGATGATCACTGATGTGTGTGTCTTTTGGACCTCAGGTGAACCGTGAATCCGCAGACAGGACCGCGCAGAGTTTCACGCACGCCGTGGGTGATGCTGGCATGGGAACCTGCATGGCAGGGAGACGCAGATGGTCTCGGTGGAGCGCGTGCAAAATTATGTGACCAACGTGAAACAGGCCGGGGCTCAAAGCAGAATCGACGCGGAAGCGGGGATTTAAGCAGCAGCTCCTTCTCTCTCCGAGGAGGCGCCGCTGAGGATCTCGCATCCAAGCATGGGCACAAACTGGCCGAGCTGAATCCTTAGGGCTCTACAGCCTTAAGCCGCATCAGTGGCTGCTCTTGCTCTCACCTCTTGTCTCTTGCTTGTTTCTTTTTATATTGAGGTCGTGGCAACATTCAGGTGGACAAGGAGCTTGTCTTAGTCCAGTGGGCTCAGAGTGAAAAAATAAACATGAGTGTAGAGAAGACATAACGGTGTGGAGCAGACGAACGTGATCATCTCGCGAGGTTGTGATGCGATACCGTGAGGGTTTGCCGGTCGCCTTGTGCCAAGTTGCATTTGCCTTCGTAAGGCACTGCCTGTTCACTTGACTTCACCTCAGTTTCGCCGTGCATTTCCACCCTCATCAGCCCTCGTCACCAATCCCAATGCAACCAACGAGCGGAAGCCCTTGCAGAACAGGTCCTGAACGGAATTTGCCTCGAGATCAAGGCCACTGAGTTGCAACAGAGACAATCCCCAGCACTCCCCGCGCATGCAAGGCTGGAGAAAGAGTTGGAATCGTGGGACGTACAGGCGAGACCTTCTTGCCTTATGCCTTTGCAAAGCAGGGGAAAACTTGCAGCGAGTTGCACTGCAAGGATGCGGCAAGTCCTCCTTCCTGTCGACGCTGCTTCGACTCGTCGAGCTCGAGGCGAGATCTGGGTCCCAGATGATTCCTTGCCCAAAGAAAGTTGGGGAGCGCTTGATCCCTCTAAAACTCCCTGATGAAGTATTCTTCTAGAAAGCCGTGCGCCGACTATACAGGGCCATGCAAACTAGCAAAACGCCCCGTAGATTTTTGAGTTTTGAGCTCCTCAGCTCTGTGCCGTGCCTGTCGGACTGTCATGCCTGTGCAGTCTGGCTCCATCACGGTGGATGATGTTGACATCAGCCAAATCGGTCTTCACGACCTCCGAAGCAAGGTGTCGTACGGTCAGAGGTGAAGACAGTTCCGTGATGCACGCCGCTTCGCCCACTTCGTGAGGTTGCCATGATACCTCAGGCCATGGCCGGCACCGTCGTCCTAGGGTCTTTTTGCGGGGGGGGGGGGGGGGGGG